GGTGTTGTGGCGGGTGCCTGTAGTCCCAGCTACTTGGGAGTCTGAGGCAAGAGATTTGCTTAAGCCCAAGAGTTGGAGGTTCCTGTGAGCTTTGACACCACAACACTCTACCGAGGGCAACAGAGTGAGACTCTGCCTCAAAAACAAACAAACAAAGGAGAGGAAGCAGTAGATATGGCCAGAAGCCTTTCTTCCACCTCCATCTTTCTTGTTTGACTCTGGTTTCTGAAAAGAGGAATCTTCACTCTGTATCTCCACCTCCTTATCTGCTCTTCCTTCCCCAGCTCCTTGCCCTTACCAAAATCACTGGTGACCATTTGTCTAAGGAGAGAGACGTTTGTCAGGCTGTCTGAGTGGGCCTCTGTGCTGCCACAGCTGGCTGCCCACTTCTACACACCCTCTCCCCTCTCTCCTTCTGAATTCTTATAGCTCAGATGCCCTCTTGCTGGGGTCATGGGGTAGGCACAGGCCCTGTAGCCTCAGCTTCACTGCAGGTCCTGGGTGTCCCCAGGGCTCCCCCCTGCTTTCCCCTTACCCTGAGTGATCCCATCTTCCCATGGCTTTGTCCTCCATCTTATACTGTCATGTCTCTCACCTGCACCTATCCAGCCCTGACCACCCTCTGAGTGAGGGAACACCCAGTGCCTCACTCCAGGCACTTGGGGTACAGGGCCAGAGAAGACCCGGCTAGGAAGGCTGCATTGGCTTGGGCCAGAGAGGCTGCATACAGGGGGAGAATTCAGAGCAAGAAGAACAGACAACCAGAAAGGCAGAACAGACTACCAAGAAACTGCACAGCCAAACCTGTAAGGGTGAGCACAGTACACTTAACCCCACCATAGGACAGATAGCAAGCCTGGAAGTTGGGGAAATTGCTCCCGCCGCAGGATCAGGAAATAGGTTAGCTTACTTGCTTCTGACTACTCTCTTATTTTCTGCTTCAGTTTTGGTGTAGGAGGTCACACTGGGTCTCTGGTGGGGCTACTGACACCTCAAATGAGCATGTCTTAAGCTGAGCTCACCCCCATCACCACCAGTTTCCACTCAGCAGCCTGGTCATGTCTGGTCCTTCCTCCTCCCTCTTAATTACTCACAGTCCTAAGATCTACACCCTAACCCTCCCAGTTCCCTGCTTTTACCTCACCGTCATGGCTGCCTGGCCTGGGCTGCTGGCCTGGGTCTTCTTCCACTTTCACCTGCTCTGCCTGTCCAGTCTCAACCCAACACTCTAGTCTTCACCCTAAAGCCATAAGATCTTTCTAATTGACACTTTAGTGGCATAATCACAGCTCACTGAAACCCTGACCTACTGGGCACAAGTGATCCTCCCACCTTGGCTTCCCAAAGAGCTGAGATTATAGGCATGAGCCACTGAGCCCAGCCCTCCTTCCTTCCTTAGGGCGTGCACCCCAGTATTTAGAATACTACCTCCTCCAAAAAGCCCTCCTACTCTCCTCTCTTCCTTCCCCTTCTTCCTCCCCCTCAGGCACCTTTCTCTCTGGTGCTCCCTTCCCACTCCATTATTACTTCTTTCCCACTCTCTCCTTCCCAACATTACAGGTCTTTATGCCTCTTTCTGTGTCCTCAGCCCCTGGGGGTAGGGTGCCCTGCACATGTTATGTACCCATAGAGCTACCGGTTACTGGGCACCAGGATATTCCAAGCCCTGTGCTAAGTACCTTCTGCATAGTATCACATCTCACTCCCACCATTATCATCTTTTTTTTTTTTTTTTTTTTTTTGAGACAGAGTCTCACTTTGTCATCCTTGGTAGAATGTTGTGGCCTCATAGCTCACAGCAATCTCAAACTCCTGGGCTCAAGCACTCCTCTTGCCTCAGCCTTCCAAGTTGCTGGGCCTATAAACACCCACCATAACACCTGGCTAGTTTTTAGAGATAGGGTCTTGCTTTGCTCGGGCTGGTCTCCAACTCCTGATCTCAAGCAATCCACCAGTCTTAGCCTCCCAGAATGGAAGGATTATAGCCTCCACGTTGCCCAGCCCATACCATAATTTTGAGGACAAGGAAACAGGTGCAGGGAGGTTAACAGCCTGGCCCAGGTCACAGGCTAGCAGCTGGCGGGTAGTGGAACTGAAAAGCCCCAGGGCTTGGGCCTGCTTCTTCTCAGAATTTTGGCCAGTGGCTTGGTGGCCAGTAGAGGGGCTGTCAGGACCCAGACCTCCTTCCTCCTAGTGTCCTCAGTACTACACAGGGTCCTAAGGTAGAATGAACTATAGGAGGAGCTGGAAAAGGGCTAAAAAAAAGGGGAAGGCTAGAATATACTGTTTTTTTCTCCCTCACATCTACTTCCCCCTGGCTTGTGGTCACAGGTCATGAGCTCCAGCCTGTCACTGCTCCTTATAGAACACGCCATGGGGATTTCCAGGAACTGAGGGAGAGGCTTTGGGAAGTCCAGGTCAGAGTTCCCAGTGGGAGCAGGAGAAGGAAATGCATGGTGGGGTCCTGAGAGACACCACAGACACTTTGCAGAGGCTGAGAGAAAGGTGGGGGAAATTGGGGATAAGAGACCAGGCATAAAGTCCCTAGTGGCTTCAAATGACTATAATGATGAACATGTTCCCAGGAAGCTTTTTCAGAGGAGGAAGAAGGGGGTTGACAGCAGCTCCACACAGTGCCTCATCTGCAGGCAGAGTACCCTGGCAGGTATCTTCTCTGCATGGATAGCCTCAGAGGGGGAACCATGATGAGATGGCACCTCATTCTCTCT